TTTTACTAAAATATTAAACTAATTATTAGTATAATTAGATTTCTAACTATCTTATTAATAGTATTTAAATCTTTTAGAACTAAGTAAAGTATTATACTACTTAGATTAAAGCTAATAAATATTATTAATATAAGATCTACTATATATATATTATAATTATAAATAATTAGATACTTCTCTTATTACTCTATAAGTAATTAGTAAACCTTATTAAGTTTTAGCTTAATTTTAAGTAGTATAATAACTAACTACTATAGATAAATACTAAGGAGATTACTACTAATTATACCTAAATATATCTTAAGATTTAACTTAAGATATATAATCTTTTAAATTAGGTTTTTTTTTAATAGCTAATAGTTTCTTTATAGAATACTTACTAAAAGAAGGATAAAGACTTTATTAAATAGACTTATCTTTAGTTTAAAAATACCTTACTTTAGTATTTTTAAAATAAAAGTTATATCTTTAACTAGGTTTAGTTCCTTAATAAACTTAATAATATCTTAGAGAAATATTTCTTAAGTAATAACTTTTATATATTTAGTTTATTTATTTAAGATCCCTCTAAGGTTTAAATTTCTTAAATATTTTCTAATTCTTATAAATATACCTTAGTTATAATCTTTAAATATATTATCTTTAGTTTTACTCTCTAATTTAATATTTATAAAGATATTAGTACTTTATCTATAAATATTTATAAAAATCTTATTAGTTTTAAGGATAAGGATAAGTTATTAGAAAAGAAGAGTAATAATAGTTAGAATAATATAGATATTAGTCTTAATAATAATAGTATTAATAAGGATTTAAGTAATTTAGAGGATAATTTTTAGTAGTTTTTAGTAGATCTTTAGTAAATATATAATAGCTTTTTTTTTAAAGTTCTTACTTAGATATTTTTAGGTTTATATATTACTTTTAAGAGTAGTTTTTTAGAGTTTTTCTATAATTAATTAATTTTTCTTATTTCTCTATACTACTTATTATCCTATTTATAGTATAACTTATATTATTACTTTTTAAATCCTATAAGGATTTATAAAATATTTACTAAATACTTTTTAGGTTTCTAAGTATTATATTCTACTAATTAGCTTTTCTATTTAACTAAATATAGGGGGCTTATTAATATTTCTCTCTATAATATAATATTTTTAACTTTCTATTCTTTAAAGTTCTTCTCTAAGTTTAAAAGCTATTTTTTAGTAAACTTTTAGTTATATTATAGTTTTAATAAAATAACTAAGAAAATATTATATATTTTATTATATTTTTCAAAGAGTTATACTCTATAAATATTAAAGCTTATAACTTCTATAATTAATATAAGAATAAATTATAAGGTAAGTTTTTACTAACTCTTTATAAAGTAGAAGTTTTTTATTAAGAGCTTTATAATATTTTTAATTTTATATAATTATATTTTCCTTTTAGTATTTATGTTTTTAGCTTATACTTCTATTATATATTAGTAATTCTTAGCTATTTTTTAGTAAACTTCTATTAGCTTCTTAAACTTTTTATTAACCTTTTAGGTTTTAATTTTAATACTTAGTAAGTAGTAATTAATTATTTAAAGGTAGTAACTTATAAAAGCTTTAAATAGTAACACGCTAATAGTAATNTATATTTATTATTATTATATAAGAATTTAGGTTTAATTAGCTATATTATTTATTAGTTATATAAATTTTTACTAAATCTTAAGAGGTATATAGTTAGAGTTTAGTATATTCTTTTAGTCTATTTATCTATTTATAGATATTATATAATAGAGATATACTTTTTTATATCTTAAGTTTTAGTTTAATTTTATTAAAACTAGCTAGTAATTAACTTATCTTAATTATTAATAATAGCTTTAAATATACTATATTAATATTTAATCTCTTAGTATAAGAT